AAAGAGAGGAGACCCCAAACCTCACCACCCAGGAGACCAATTAAGGGCCTGTCAGCAGGGCAGAGCCGGGACAGTTGGTCTCAGTGACACCCCACACCACCCACGTGTGGAGCACACTGCAGGGGTTTGGGACCTGGCCTCTCTCCAGTGTCCACCCTTCTACCCCACTGTCACCACGGTCTCCACCGGGGAGCACCGACTCCTGCTCCCGTGCTCAGAGAACCCCTGCTCTGGGCACCCCCTCCAAGCCCAGCCCAATGCCAGGTGAGGGTCCAGCCAGACTGGGTTGGCTCCTAGAACTTTATTCTCGTGCCCCCACCGTCTAGGGAGCTGGTGCAGATCTGGACCTCCGATGGCGTGCCAGCAGGTCCATGCAGGCTGAGGAAATGCCTCGTGGCCCCACCACCCACATACTCCCTCCGACTGAGCTGCAGCAAGGCCACGGGCTGCCCTAACTCCGGGGGACCAGTCAGTGAGGCCCCGTCTGCTCACCTGGGCATTGAGGGCGGCCGCCTGCTGGAGCTGGGAGCGGCTCAGGGCCTGGCTGAAGGGGTCCCTGAGGAAGCGCGTGTTCTTGTACACCACCTGCCGGGGCTTCTTAAACACCTGCTCTTCGTCAGGGACACCTGGCAGACACAGCCGGGGCGAGCTGTCAGGGGCCGGGCAGGCCTCACCCCAGCCCCACCGCCCAGCAGCCCGAGGCGTGGGAGCTGTGCCTTCCCTGCCCGTCACTCGCAGCTGAACAGCCCGTGCCTGGCTGGGGCTCTGCATCTGCAGAGCCAGAGTGGAGTAGGAGGGCCTCGCTCCCGCTGGTTCACACAGACCCTCCCGAGGCCAGGCCGTGAGGGAACAGGTCCACACGGACTGCCCCGCCCGTCCCTCCCAACAGCCGCTGGCTCACCCTCCGGGTAGTACATGAGCGAGTTCTTGGCCTTGTACTTCCAGGTCTCCACGCCGGCCTGGCTGCTCTCGATGGCCTGGCGCTCTGCCGACGGGAGTGCCAAGTTATCTTTCTGCCTCTGCAACCACACGGGGCAGGTGACGGTCAGAGAGGCCCCTGGGCACGAAACCTGCGGCCCTGGACTCCCCACCCCGATAGGACACGCACGCCCTGGGCCTCAGAACCACCTTCTCGAACTCCTCCTCAGCCTGGTAGAGCCAGGCGTGGCGTGCCCGGCTCTTCTCCTTGGCCACCTCCATGATGTCCTGGAAGGAGGCGTTGTCCTCGCTCGTGTAGCGGCTCAGGAAGACGTCCAGGCTGGGCAGTGGCTCCTTCTCCTCCTCCTCCTCGCCAGCCTCTCCTGCTCGAGGGGACAGCGGGCAAAACAGCACCACCAACAGCATAAACGCCACTTCGCCGTCGGCGAGACTGGCGGACTGTCCTGAAACCGCACGGCCCTGCAGGCAGAGCTGGGGTCCTCCCTTTGGTCCCCACACTGCCGGGGGACTCCCCACGGGGCAGGAGGGAAGAGGGGCCAGCCCAGTCCACCTGCCCAGTTCCGCTGTCTACCAAGGGAAGTGTGCGATCAGATTCGAGTTTAGGGGGTGGCAAACCGACATTAGAGAGTTCATGACCCCAGGCAGGCTCTCCCCCTGCCAAGCTGTGCCAATCCTGCAGGATCTCCCTCCAAAGCCCCAGGACTCTCCCCACACCTGGGAACCCCTTACCCTAACTGCTCTGCCGCTGCTGGCACCTGTGCTACAGGTGGGGCGCTGTCGCCTAAGAGCTGGCCCTGCCCACTAGCCCTGATGGCAGGGACTGCAGATGACCCAGTGAGCCAGACAGGGCCTCACACAGACTGAGCCACACGCAGTCACCCCACTGCCGCCTTTGCCACCACGGAAGTGGAACTCCTGCAGTCGGTCCGTCTAGGAGAGGGCTTTCTCCTGTTCTAGTGACAGTCTGACCAACGGCTACGTGCTAGAGTATACACAAAGCACAGCGGCTATGAGTTCAAGAGCCAGGTCAGGAAGATGAGGACGCAAAGTGCACTCCCCACCGACCAGTTCTAAGACCTGCAGAGGTCACTGCCTCCCCGAGCCTCAGTTTCCTCACCCGAAGTGTGAGCGACAACAGCACCTGCCACGGAGACCTACAGAAAGGACTTTGCTTTGTTACAGGGCACGTGTGGTCACCAGAGAGAGGGAAACAGAAAGAGAAGGAAAGTGAGATATCTCCCCCCAGGAGCGATGGCCACACTGCAATCCTTTCTCCTCCAATCTCCTCTCGGGACTTTGGGCATGCAGACACACATAGGTTTTTTTTTGTTTGTTTGTTTGTTTGTTTGTTTGTTTTGGAGAGGTTTTTGCTATAGGGCGCGTGCGCTCGCCAGACAAGAGACAGAAAGCAAGAAATCACCCCCCAGGGGGGATGGTCACGCCGCAATCCCTTCTCCTCCATTCTCCTCTCGGGATCTTGGGCACACACGCACACGCGCCCGACGTGAGTTTTAAGCCACCGGGTCCAGGACATGAACCGCGGTCAACTACGTGGGAGTCCAGCGACATAGCCATTACACTAACTGCTGGTCCCTTTCTTTTCTTTTTGAGCGGTTTTTGCTATAGGGTGCGTGCGCTCGCCAGACAGATGGAGAGAGACAGAGAGACAGAAAGCGAGAAATCAACCCCCAGGGGGGATGGCCATGCTGCAGTCCCTTCTCCTCCATTCTCCTCTCGGGATCCTGGGCACGCACGCACACGTGCCTGGTGTGAGTTTAAGCCACTGGGTCCGGGACTCAAACCAGGGTCGACTACATGGGAGTCCAGCGACATAGCCATTCCACTAACTGCTGGTCCCACAGGTGTGTTTTTCAAGTTGCTGGGTCTGGGACTCAACCGCACAGCCAGCCATGTGGGATCCAGCCGTATTAACTTCTTTTTTTTTTCCTGCTATAGGGCACGTGCGCTCGCCAGACAGACAGAGAGAGACAGAGAGACAGAGAGACAGAAAGCGAGAAATCAACCCCCAGGGGGGATGGCCATGCTGCAGTCCCTTCTCCTCCATTCTCCTCTCGGGATCCTGGGCACGCACGCACACGTGCCTGGTGTGAGTTTAAGCCACTGGGTCCGGGACTCAAACCAGGGTCGACTACATGGGAGTCCAGTGACATAGCCATTATGCTAACTGACTATTCCCAGGCCGTCTGCCAACACCAGTATTGTTCTATCAACTGGAACGTGGGATGTACATTATTTAAAAGAAAAACCCACAGTCAGCAGGGGGCATGGTGGTTAAGGCGCTGGACTACCACATGGCCAAGTATAGTCTGAGTCCCAAACCTGGAGCACACGAGGAAGGAAGAGCAAGAACCACTCTTGTGCAGGGCGCCTCACTAGGGGGAGGGACGACAGACACACAGCCGGAAACCTCTGTGAACAGCACGTCCTGCCGCAAAAACCAGGCCAGGCTGGAAGGCACAGGCAGAGCTACTGTGACTTTAGGAAAGGATGCGTGGGGCCATCAGATAGCATCGTTCGAGTCCCAGACCCGGTGGCTTGAAATACACAGCGGGTGCATGTGCATGCGTGTCCAGGATCCCGGGAGGAGAATAGAGGAGAAGGAACTATGGTGTGGCCAGCCCCCCAGGGGGGGTTGTTTCTCACTTTCCCTCTCACTGTCACTGTCTCTGTCTCTGGTACGCACACACACACAAAGGCAAAAACCTCTTAAAAAAAAAAAAAAAGAAGGAAGGAAGAGTTTTCCTGAACAGTAATGTCTGTGGGGAGACCTGGGGGAAGAGAAGGAGCCGGCTGCGCGGTGATCTGGGGGAGTAACCACTGTCAGGGAAGGAGGCATGCAGAGGCCCCGGGAAGACCTCAACGAGAGGAGCCTTTAGGGTCCAGGAGGCCCACAGGGCACAGCCCAGCCAGGGGCCATGTCGGTGGGTGGGGGGCAAGATTTCCACTCCACAGAGGCCCCTAGCCCTGCCCTGTCTTTAGGAGCTGGACCAGTGCTCTCAGACCTCACACGCTGGGTGCCACCTAGGCAAGGCAACCCCGCGGGGACAGGGTGTGACCTGCAGCCTCTGGACCACCCTCTCAGGGCCCCCAGGGGCAGATTCCCAGGCAACCCTGACCACGTGACCAAGAGGCAGCTCCCACTCACCATCTTCCAGGCCTCGGCCCCGGGGCCTGGGCTTGCTGCCCACCACCCCAGAGCCTGTGTGCACCTCGGGGGTTTCAAACGTGGCTGGAGTCACATCTGGAGGAAGATGGAGGAGGAGTTAAGAGAGCCCGAGGCAACGGCTCAGTGGGTGCCCCCATCTCCAACGCCCACAGGGCTCTCTTACAGGGTGGCGGGGGCTCTCGGGACATCTTGCCCAGGGATGAGCCGAACTTGATGGCGATCTGGCGCATCCGTTCCAGGTCTCCATTCTCCTCGGCCTCCAGGTACTCCTTCTGTGCCTGGAGCTTCTCCACATCAGGGAAGAAATCCCTCTGGATAACGGTCTGCAGGCCCTGGGAGGCAAGGTCAGAACTGAAGGCAGAGCTGCCGGGGCCAGCCCCACAGCCCGGCAGCTACACGCGGTGCACCAGGAGATGAGTCTGTGTGGCCGACACGGAGCTCCGGCCCCAGCAGCCGTCTGTGCGTGCATGCCCCAAGTCCTGATAGGATGGAGAAACAGGAAAGGGGCTGCAGAACCACCACGCCCCCCTAAAGATGCTGTGTGTGTGCGTGTGAACATGCCCTCGCTCCCTCTTTCTGATGAGTACGAGTGACCTCTGGTGACTGTTTCCGTCAGAGCTGCCCCCTGGGTGCTAAAGCCTTGCTGACTTCTACAGCCCCTGTCGTAATGACTGGGGCTTGCTTAAGGGAGCTGGGGGGCGCTTTCTAGCAAGGATGAACATCCCGCATGGCCTTGCTGCAACACCTACGTATTGTGTTTTCTTTTGTTTCAAAGAATTATTTTATTGAACTGTATTTATTTGTTTTTTTTTTTTTAATTTGACCAGACAGAAAGAAAGAGAGAGAGAGAGAGAGAGAGAGAGGGAGAGAGAGAAAGCCAGCCGCTGGGTCCGGGACTCGAACTGCAGTTGGCCATGTCAGAGTCCAGCGTGATGGTTACATCACACCACCTGCTGGCCCCACAACACCTGTTTTATTCTTTTTAAAAAAGTTCACTTATTGATGGGACCAGCAGTTGGCGTAATGGCTAAGTCGCTGGACTCCCATGTAGTGAACTGCGGTTTGAGTCCCGCACCCAGTGGCTTAAACTCACGCTAGGCACATGTGCATGTGTGCCCAAGATCCCGAGAGGAGAATGGAGGAGAAGGGATTGCGGCGTGGCCATCCCCCCTGGAAGGTGATTTCTCGCTTTCTGTCTCTCTTTCTCTCTCTGTCTCTGTCTTTCTGGCAAGTCCACGCACCCTATAGAAAAAAACTCTTGCCCCCGGCCCCCCCCAAAAAAGAAAGAAAGTGAGAAAGCAAGCCGCCAGATCCAGGACTTGAATCATGGTCAGCCAGGTGGGAGACCAGCACCCTTAACCACCAAGCCATCTGCCGGCCCCCAGACCTATCCTCTTCATTCTAACCAAAAACAAAGCCCCTTTTTGTCTTGCCTTAGGCAGAACTGATACCCCTAAGGAAGGCCAATACTGAGCAGATTGCTGACAGAAATCTCATTAACTTCCAGATGGCAAAGCAACATCAAGTCACCACCTTTTCTTTTCCTTTAGGTTTTTGCCATCCCCCCGCCCCCCGGGGAGTGATTTCTCACTTTCTCTCTCACTCTCTCTCTCTGGTGATGGCACATACCCTAAGGCAAAAACCTCTCAAAAAAAAGTTTGTTTGTTTACTTATTCCTTCCAAAAGAGAGAGAGAAATAAGAGACAAACTGATGCCACAATCTATTTCCAGTCTCAGTCAGCCAGAATCGGTCACGCAGGCACATATCCAGGGAGGTCCTAGGACTGGGACCCAGGACCTCTCCCAGCCACATCACTGCTGCGACACAACCTGCCCCTGCAACGTCTGATATTATTGCACATTGCACTGATGTCCATGAAACCCTTGTCTCCCCCTTCGCTAACTGGTCGTTCTCATTCTCCTCTGCCTGCTCCACCTCCACACCAAATGCACTGCCGTGAGCACTGCCACCTTAGCGTGCCCAACACTCTTTTTTGTCTCCCCCATTGCCAGAAGGAGGGAGGGAGGGAGAGAGAGAGAAACACAGAGAAACGAGTGATAGCACCCCTAATGGAGCATGGTCATTGCGATCCTTTTTCTCCTCCACTTCATCCTGTCCGGATTTGAGGCATGCACACCCAGGCACCCAGAGTATTTCCCAATGCACCTGGTGGGATTAGAACTGTGGCGGACCACATGGGAGCTGACTCCTGATACAGCACTCACAACCACTGCTACTTGTCCTGAGTGACCTCCAGCCAGACCTCGCTCCTGCTGCCAGTCTGTGCATCCAGCTGCCTACAAATGCCACCTGTCTGTGTCACAGGGACGTCCCAAACTTCACCAGTCTAAACCTCTCTCAGTCCCCGTGTCAACTCCTCCTACGTGTTTGCCGTAGGACCGAGATTCGTGCCAAAGGATGTCGCAGACCCACTCGCTCAAGTTGCCCCCAAACCTGCAGTGTTTCCGGGACGCCTAGCCTTCGCACCTGCTGTTACCGCTCGCTAGAAAAGCCTCCTTTGCATACCCTCCCGGTTTATCTAACTCGGTTCACACTTGCAC